GAAAAAAATATTATAGACAATAGTAGTTTTATATTTTTTTTGCTATTATTATAATTAATTTTTTTTTTAATTCGCGATATTCAAAACAAATTGAAATAATAACATGTTATATTTTTAATAATTGGAAAAAATTCTAACGAAATTACATAACATGCTACAATCTAAATCTAAGTAACTTTCTATAGTTGTACTTTACTATCTCATACTGAATAGATTACAATAATTATTCCTAGTATTGTTACGTGAGTAAAATTGGTTTATGTTGACTACTTAATTACTTTAAAACTTAATTAGTATATTTTTCTTTTCTTTTTTTTTTTTTAGTTTAAATAGGTTTATGCGTTTTCAAAATTTAAAAGTTTAATTTTAAAGCTCACAAAAATTAACAAGAATTATATGCAGACATATTATTACTAGAATAATCATAGTCTAAAATGTCTATATGAATCCGCGTTCTAAATAGTTATTTTGAATTATAAAATATTTATAAATATTTAAATAATACATAACTATAATTTTCAAGAGAATTATGAACAAAATGAGAGCTCAGAGCTCATTTTTATATTTTTTAGGTCACTCATTAAAATTTTTTCAGTGGCCAATTACGGCCTATCAAGTCCATCATTGAGCATACATACCATATTAATATTTATAAAATATGAATGATAATGTTATTAGGCATTTTATTTATAGACCGTTCACTTTGAAAAATGAACACAAAGTACGAACTAAGTAACATATTGTTATTCAATCAGATCGGAACCAAACTAATTTTGTTTTATTCGTGTGCTGAATAATATATGCTGAAATGTTTTGCACACTCTATTGACTGTTAAATGATTTCTCGAGCGTATTCTTATATCATATTGCAGGTTGTATGCCTTGAATTTTTACGAAAATTGTTTATCTACACATAATAAAGTATACAGTTACAATATAAATATAAATTTTGAATTAATATTCACGAATTTCTAATACAGTTATTATAATGTACAGCTATTTAAATTCCAATAATATACATAATATAGTAATATTAAAAAAAGCAAACAAACGAATGAGTAATATCAATATATACACATATAAATATTTTTCATCAAAACAATATTATATGCCTTCAGTTTAATAAAAAAATGTGCTCTCATAATGCTTTTTTAATCAGATATTTTATAATCTATACATTGCAAATTGTTGTGCAATTACTGCAATTCATATATTTACACGTTATAAGTCTGTTTTTTTTCCCAATGTTATTTTGTATTACAACAGATATTTTATCCAGTGGTGTCACGTATTTTTTTTTCCTGCACGTTGTTTTGGTTTTTAGACTTCATTATGCGCATATTTATTTTATTTAATAATCAGATTTATTTTAGCACGTTTTTACAGAGTGTCACAATCTGAAATCACCAAGTACTAGTTATTTACTATTTTTGATGTTTTTTTTTCTAGCATAGTGTGAAAAAAAATTGAATAAATCATTTTTATCGGAATTTCGTTTACATATATTGAAATACATAATCACACACACCCACACATATGAAAACATCTTGTATCTATTAAAATAGAATAATATGATTCAAACTCAAAACAACTATAAATAATTATATAGTGCATAAATAAAAGAAAAGTATGGCAGTAGTACACCTAGCTATTACCCCGTATATTTTATCAAAGTACTTTAACAATAAGCACCTATACTACTCATAGTCCATGGAGTGCACTCGTATTTCATATATTATAATGTACTAAGCTAGGTATTTTTAAAGGCTTGTATGTAATATTCATGTAGATAACTTAAAGCGATTCTTTATAAAATGTTTATAATATACGTTAAAATGGTCTGACCAATACTATAACGATTATTATTGAAATAATAACTAGACGTCTGTACTTGCTTGTGTTTGTTTTTGCTCTTTTTATTGGAATGATTATGTGTCGTGTTATTAAATTTTCAGAAAACAATAAAAAAATAATCATATATTTTTATTTTTTAATAATGTTAAAATCATGTCATAATGGTTTTTTTATTTAAATCGATCAAAGATGTTGCCAGCTGAATAATTTTACGTTTTGAGAAAATATTAAGCAAGTTCAAAAATAATTCATAGATATTGTACACCATTTTACTTATTAAAAATACTTGAGATTTTTTTGACTTTAAAAGTGCAGCAAAACATATCATAACTAGAATTTTTTGGCCATCTCATCTACCCAAAAAATTAGGGAGATGGTAAATTTCGTCAAAATCAACCTTTTTTAAAAATTCTATAAGTAAACTTTGACAAAAAAAAAAAAAAAAAAATTATAAAATTTATAATAGGTATTGAATTTTGATAAAACCGATATGGCACGTCATACTATTTAGTTATGGACATCTACTAGTGCGATAATTAAAAGTTATAATCATAAGTATGGAGTTATTAACAGTTCCAAACCATTTTTATTGAATATATTAAATAATCAAAGATAATTAATTTAAACTATTGAAATGTTTGATCAATTTAGTGTTGGATATTAGTAGAAATGTTTATACCATGTCTATGTGTTCGTGTTTAAAATGAACAATATAAGTAAATTGATGTATTTTATAGTTTTGTAATAATCATTAATTTATTATATTAATCTACTATGCTTGCATTACTATTGAAAAATTGATAGTTAAAAATAAATTATTACTAGTATATTAATGTTTTTAAATAAATGGTTTCAATTCGTATAATATTAATATTGTACCTAAGAAAATGAACGCAGTTAGTTTAATGTACTTAGTCGGTTTTACCTGCACAGCTTGTATAATATTTATTTATTTATTTTGTTAAGGTTAAAAAAGTTAATTTTGTCATAATTTATGTACAACCAAAAAATACAAGCAATAAAAATAAGTAATTTTGACATGAAAAATTATTTAAGCCATTTGCAATATTTAAAATGAGAAACGTATGCCCTACACGATTATCTTACTAGAAAACACGAATAATGTGTATTTTAATGCATTAAAATTATACAACTGTTAACTATAGCCCACTCTGTATACACATATTAGTTATAAGTCATTACATAACGAGTGTACAAATGCGCGCAATGACCCAATTATAATAAAGAATTTAAGTCAGGGTCTATAATCCATACGGTTCTATAAAAAAAGTATTATAAAAATCGTTTTTATTGCACTGTATCAATGTAATATATTATTATATGATATAAATGAACGCTATTACATGGGTATTTTAGTATTTGTTTTTATAAACTATAGTACAGTGATCATTTATTTTTCATCTGCTATATAAATGGCTAGAAAAATATATTATAGTTTTTGCGACCCCACGCGATTGTAATGCTCAATGATATTATATGTGGCGTAGAACAATATTACATTATTATAAACGGCGATTTGAGAATTTTAACCTGTAAGTCCGGTAATATTCGTCATTATTGGAGTTTTTAAGAACTTATTAAATTGTGGACAAACAGGGTATTACATATGACTTTTACGCTATCAGGATTAATGTTATTTATTTTGTGCTCCATGCCCGTAGGATCATAACCTGCTTATTAAAACGGTATGAACTTCCGATTTACAAATACGCTTCTAAACACCTTAAATATTTACAACAATGTAAAAACGGATCTGTTTTATGTGAAAGAATTAATGAACCTGATATAGAATGCGGAACTTAGCTTTTTAAATGTATGTGAAGCAGCGCAATAATGGTCGGACCTAGAAAAATGTTGATTTACTATTCCTCTCTAAATTATGAATACGATTGTAGATAATAATAGATTCCTTCATATATTGATTAAAATTCTTATATTTTATTACGCAGGCACGTATCCAGAATATTATTTTAGAAGGTCTAAAAAATGTTGAGTACAATATTTATTTTATTTTTTCACACAATTACTGATATAAAAAACTTTTTATTTTTAATTTTTAAACATTTTGGGTGATCCAGACACATGAAACCCTTGAATACGTGCCTGGTTTTATTTACAACGTAAGTTATAAAAAAATATTATTTAAATAAGTTTAGATTCGTAAAACAAAAATATTATTTTATAATCAATGAAGTAGGCTTTGGCCCCTTTAATTTCCCCTTTGAAATTCTTCAAATTCTATTAATGTCACTATTGTCACTATATGTGATTCAGCTAAAATATTTAATTTATATTAGTTGTATTTATGTATTCTTCAAAATGGTTTTAATTTATTATTATGAAGACTATATCAAATAAGATGTCTTACGTAGAGCTTCAAACGGCTCACTAAAGGAATGCTCCTTGTACTCGTATATCGTGTTTATGGTATTGCGTTTGAAAAAAGTCAACGCCGTTTTCACAACTATGATGGTGGAAGTTATAAAATATAGTAGGTATCTACGTCACGAACTCGGTCTTTAATGTGGTTAGAAGTTTGAAAAATATATAACAAGAAATCGTCTATCCAGAGATTCAATATCAATCCACATTAAGGGTGTTGTGTTGAAGCCAATGTATAAAATAAACTTGTCTCACTGGGAAACATTTTATCTTGATTTTTAATTTTTTTTTTAATTTCCTAACGTTATTTAAAGTTCATAAATTCGTTTAAAAATTGGAGTCTTATGTGTCTTCTTTTAAATAAAATAAACATTACTAAAATCTTATTATTCGACGAGACGTGATCGTCTTTCCAATAAAGTTGTTTTCGACCGTTGAAATAATTTGATTTTGTTCTTTCCGTGACGGCCTGTTGTCAAACACCACACGCTTACAACACGCAACATGACTAGAAATTATCTAAAATTTTGACGCTTAGAAAAAAAACCAGCACCGACACTGTTAAAAAAAAATCGTTCCGCATAATATTATATCATGATACGATGGAAAAAGTTCGCCGAGGAGAGGGTATGGGTAGAATTTCCAGTAACTTTTTCCTTTATCGTCGAAATTTTTTTTCATACTCAACAGAATAGATACCCAAACTACATATATATTATATTTCCATACTTCCTGTTACTTACCATCCACTGTAGTAGTGAAGTTGTAGGTCGTCTTGGTTGTCGTCGTTTCCGTATTCGCCGTCACCGCCGCCGCCACCGCCGCGAACGTTCGCTGCTCGTCGCCCGTCCGACCTGTCAACTTCTGCGGGCGGCTCCGCGCGGGAAGTCCCCAGTCGGCCAGAACGAAGCAATGGAAGTTTGGTGCTCCGTTCGTCATTCCGCCCGTCTACATACCCGCACAGCTTACGACTCGCCGCCGCCCAAAGTCGCCGCCCACCGGTATCGTCGTCACGGAAACGCCAGCCCAGCCCCCCTCTGGACTTCCCATCGCCACGACTTTGCCCGCCACTGCCGCCACCGGCCCTCCGCTCATTATCATTTTATCCCGAGTCTGCAGCCGGCGTCCACCGCTACAGCACGTTCGTCGTTCCTAGCCACGCGGCTTTTGCCGCCGCGCTGCAGCCTTTCATTAATTTTTAATTTAAATTTCTGCCTTTTTCACCTTTACTCCCTTCCCACCACTAACTATCGTCACCATCTCATCACATGACTACAACCACAACTCAACAACTTCAATTATAATGGTCGTCCTCGAAAACGCTCTTGAAGTACAGGAAGCTTTAACCGCAATAGCATCGCGCTGTGAACACGGCATAAAATGTTTTGGAATGAACAAATGTGAGTATTATAAATATTATGATCACAAGACTGTATTCGATTATTTTTGATACTTAGTAATATTACATATCATATTTACATTTATGATAATATGTAGCTATACAGAATATGATTGCCTTCTCTAGCTGTAACGCGCGTATTAAAAATCCTCGAGAGTAAAACAATTAAACGAATTCTTCAAGTCACAAATTGAATATAATAATATATTATATTATAATTGAATATATAATACATGTTGATTCATCATTTTGTGGTGATTTTCGGTCGGCAGTTTTAGAAAAAAACATTTTATACAAGAAATACGTCATACCAATTATATGTAATATATATATAGGTATTACCATTGATTATAATATAATAAATAATATAATATAATAATATAATAATAATAATAATATATAATATAATATAATCAATAGTATTACCTTACCAAAGTTTTTCAACACCAGTTATTGATTGAACATAATTGAATGTACCTATTATTTTGTTACGCTTATTTTATAGTAAAGTTTTATTATAATCTCAACAAAATAAATCAATCGGTAAGTTTTTGTAGTATTAAGTGTTTTTACCTGCTCCTTGGATCAACAAAATTGTTTCGTTGTAACTATTAATGCGTATGAGTTAAATAAAAAAATGGTTGCTTTGTAAGTATTATTAAGCTATCCACTAAAATTCAACGTAGGTATCTATATTCTATACTCTACTCTATAATATAACATACAGAATCATAAAGAGCACATGCAATATGGTAATTACGGTGTACATTAAATGTACGAGTGTAAGGCGTAAATGCAATAACTATAAGAATAATAAGAAGGAAATAAGGCCTTCAATAATCTATCCCTAATATTATAGTAATGCCACTTTCGAACTACCCAGCCGTTTTATAAAGGACTTGAATACAAAACTTCAATGAAATGTTGACAACAATTATTTAATCCTTTAATATTATTAAATACTGATTTAATGGAACTCGCAGGTGGCCTTTATGTTAGTATAGATACCATCATAGATAATTCTTGTGTAATTATTTCAAAATAATATTTATAAAAAAAAAAAACAATTTCTCGTGAAAAAAAAAAAACACTTAAGCTAGTCATAGTTAACTCAGCTGAGAAAACAAATGTATATCAAATAACATATTAATAAAAAATACGATATGTTTTTATCATGTAATTTTTATTTTGTTGATTTGATTAGTGCTATAAATGTTTGAAAATTCGTTACTTTTATGTTTCTAAAACTTTTTGTATTAATGATATCAAAAAAATAAAAATATTACAACACAGACAATATTATCTTATGTTTATTGTACCTAATAAATTTTTGATATAACAGTTATAACTATATGATCTGGGACTCTAGTTTGGGTAAGTTGTTATTTTTCACGCGTAACTGTTTCCACAAACAATATTAATTATGGGTAAATTAGCTTACTCTCATAATATATAATTCATATACATATGTAAATAAATCAAAACTGTGTTAATTAAAAATAATTTTATGAATTTATGTAAATATCATTGTTTATTGATTAACTTTATTCTCGCTATTTATCCACGTCATTAATAAATTTATCATAATTCATACAATTAAAAGCCTAAGAAAATAAATCATACTTATTATATTGTAGGTACACAATAATATACAGTAGTGATGGCCATGTAAATGGCTTATCAAATATACAAAAAGATATTTTTGCCAAAAAAAACTATCCACGTTTTCTTTTTGAAAGATTTTAATGTTGAAAGATAATTTTATTATTGATAGTTGTCATTATCGGTTGCAATGTTACTATGTATTATATTTTTATGTTATGTACCTATAAACATCTGTAACCCGTAATTTATTGTTGCACTATAGCAAAAGACATGTATTATATAATTATGAATTTACAATACAATAAGTATACATAACTTAACTGTATTTTTAAATTTAATTATTTCATAAACTTATGTTTATATTCTTATAACAGTATAGCGTGTTATAAAATGAATAATTATAACTTATTATTTATTACTCAAATTATCCTGATTTACTTGCAAATGACTGTTGGTAGAATCTATATAAAGTGTTCTTTTTTTCAACTCATAAATTAGAACAAGAACAATGCTTTTAATGATTTGATATTACCATTGATTTTATTTATTTACATTAAATTAATTATAACTATTATATAATAAACAGATTTGTGGATTAATCGAATAAACACGATACGTTCATAAACATCAAAATATTTAAATTATGCAAAACTAAACATACAATAAATAGAATAAGTGCATTTGTTTTACTGACGGATTTGTTACCTGTAAATTATTTTATTAAAATAAATGATATAGCATGTTTTTACTTTATATAAATGTAAAATGTGAATATAATAATTATAATATTATTTTGGTAATAATAAATAAAACAAACAAGATTTATAGTATTGCATATCTGTGTGCAAGTACCTTGTGAAAAGGTTTTATATTTTCTACTGTTACTAAAAGTTTCGATTTTTAATATTTAATAGTATTATTTACTTATTCTTAAACAAAATATTATACATATTTTTTTTGAAAAAGTGAAGAAATGTGATTTATAATATGTATCATACTGTATAAATACCTGCTCATTATTATTGTTATAAACTCTACACATTCAATACATTCAGCATAAAATTTGCTGAACATAATAAAATATTTATAATTTAATTGCACTATGCACTATGCAGTATGCATGATATATTTTTCTCGAACGTTTTTAACATTCTTGTACAGCAAAATAATAATATAATGATTGTAATGTAATTTTTATGCCCATTGGTATAAGTACCTTTATAGGAAATAAAAATATAAAAAACAGATTACGACATAAAAAATTAAATCAATATATATAGTAAGGACGTTTAAATGAAATATTTTTATGTTCCAAACTAAAACAGGAGCGACTAATTAAATTTAAACACGAATTTCTAGTAATAAATGATATTATGCCTGCCTGCTTGCTAGTTGCTATATAAGCAGCTTCTGCAGTATATTCTCGCGGGACACGTTAACTAACGGATATTGATTTAATATATTATTGTCCTGTATAATACGTCCATTTTATTTAAAAATAAGTACCCGATCGATTTAAAATAATTAGTTACCACACTAAATCGGGATTTCAAATTATTTACCAGATACCGCAATAATTATTCGTTTTGCACGTATTTCGTTTTTTTTTCTTTGTTTGTGTATTGCTAAATCGAATTTTAGGTGAGACCGCTAAGTGGATTTTGTAGCTATAGAAACTTTTTAACAAGGGGTTCGCACTTGACGTAGTATTAAATTAAGGTTAGGGTTAATTTTAGATTTGGCCCCTCCGAACATCTTGCGCGCGTAGCTTAAGCTTTTAATGGATCTGTTTAACACGTGAGGGAGCTAATACTTTACCATAAAATACATAGCGTGGTTATCCATATTGTACAGTTTGATGGTCTCTATAGATGCGCATAAACCTCAAATAATATATATATACATTTTATACTAGATTTAAAACACCACTAATTGAGATATTAGTGAAATCCCAAAAATGAAAAAAAAATGTTTTACGCTTAATTGCGTATTGCGTAATTCATTACCAGCGCATCAATAAACATATTTCAATCTGTTGTTCAATAATATTTATATTACTTATAATAAAATGAGAGTTGATGCGTAGCCAATTCATTTTTCGAAAATGTTGTTTTATGTTGTTTTCATATATTACTTATTTCTTTTATTATGCTGACAAGTCATTATGTCCCAAAAAAACGTATAGATAACAACGCTAATGACGTTTACGTTAGCTATTACTGTTTATTATTACACAAATAGGTAAAATAATTATAATCGTATAATTAATTATTATTAACTATAATAGTTTATTTATGAATGATTCGTTTACATTTTTTCAACGATTAATTTCAGTTCATGTCTACACCATACGAAATCTCTCGTGTCTGCTTAAGTTATACGAGTATACCTACTATATAATTTATTTTTTCTTAATTACTCACACTAGCTGACTCATCTTTATTTCGAGTTCCTCTTTTCACCGTTTTTTTTTGTAGACTTCAATACTTATACATATCTTCCATTAATATTCATTATATTATTTGAAACTGCGGTGCGTCTAAGCCTTTTTATATAGTTTTAACTATACAATTTTATTTGTATCATATTATACAGCCATTCTACTGTTTAAATTACTGAAGTTATAGTTTACACAAATAAATTTAATATATTATAAATATTTTACTATTATAATACAGTAGAACCTCGATTATCCGTGACTCGATTATCCGTGTTTGCGATTAACCGTGCCCATTCTTCCGAACATTTTTAAACATAATACTCGATATCGACAATCGTATTAATGACATTTTTGACGATAACTTCATATTTTAACCCCTAATAACTTGTTGTAGGTATACAATATTATGGATGTA